ACACACACACACACACACACACACACACACACACACACACACACACAAACACACACACACAGACACAGATACCACTACCACAGAGAATAACTGCAGTGGCTTCTCCACTGCTTTGGATTCCTCTGGCCACAGCTGTGGAAAAGTTCAGTGGGGACAGGGAAGGGAAAGCTCAGCAAAATGGGGAAAAAATGAGAATTAAGTGGGGGAAAGAGGCCTTGGAAACTAATACCAAGAAGTGCCCCGACTTTATTTGAACTACAACACAGCAGAGGAAAGAGTTTGAGTTGTAAAAGATGGAGCTATGTTCGGGCCAACTGTGGCTGGAAGTCAAACACTGGCCTTCCGCACAGCAGCTTCAGAGATCACACTCTATTTCTAGCAGCACAGCACACTGACAAGTCAACAACTGCCATCGATTCCCTCTGGAAAAACACCGTCTGAACAACACACACACACACGCACACTGGCACTCACAAACACGCACACATACAACGCCATGAGCGGTAGAACAAGAAGGTGGTGACATGTCTTTGATCCACACCAGTCCGTTTCCACATCGTGTGCAATAAATGTCAATACGTTTTCCACTCAGGCAGTGTCCGAATCCTGTGATGAAACTAGCAAACGGCCCTGTTCGCAGTCAGTTCAGGGCAGCGTGGACAAAAGGAGCAACGCATGGAGTAAATCCATGCACTACACAGTGAAGTGGTGACTAAATGTAAATGCAAAACGTGCACCCCTTGTAATGTATTGCAGGTTACCATCACTGCAAAGCAGTGTAAAGCATCAAATTATGTAAATGCAATTAAATGTGTGTATAATAAGTGGTCATGAGTGTCAACATGGATAAGAAGTACCGGGCAAACTCCATCTTGCAGAGGACAAATGGGTGATATTATTGAACGCTCCAGAAAAGCTACTAAATGGAACTTGTGGTGAGATTGCTTTGCCGACTCGGTAAAGTTTAGACCAATGTGCAGCCCACCTAATGCCCGACTATCTCACATTTAAGTTACAGCTCATTTGGTATCACATGATGTCCCCGTTACTGTCAACGGTTCCATGACGCAGATGTTTTCTTGTTTTTTTTTTTCACCACATCACAAAAACATCAAAGCACAATCAGAAAATCATTTGGCATTTTTCGTACGAGTCATTCACATACACATAAACCAACCCACCACCAACCAACACCATGAAAAACAACACTGCACAGAAGAGAGAGAGAGAGAGTTAGTTGTTACTGAACTACACTGTGAGTGACCTACAAACCTGATGTGCGATTAATTTAGTGTTAAAATGCACCTAAATTAGTGTGAAGGACAGAACCCGCCACCGGTTAGAGAATCTTAAAAGGGAAAGCAAAGAGGTCTGAGGTGTCTCGTCCCTTTGCTTTGCATCCAGAAGAAGAAGTGCAGGGTGAACATCCACCAGACGGAGTTTACTATGAGTGGAGGAGGATGACAATAATCAGACGGGAGGAAGGAGGGGGAGAGGTCTCTGATTTAGAGGATCCACGGGAGTTGAGGCCACTCCGTGTAGCCTTCCTACCTGGCTGCTGGTGCTGTGGGGACTTGGCCTTGACAGATTTAACCCCTCGGCTGGATGTCGGGACCCCCGCTTTAGACACGCCGAGGTTACCCTGAGGACAGGGCCGGTCCTGGCTTTGGCCTCCGCCGCGGGGCAAAGATGAGCCCTCGATGCGCTGCTTCATCTCAGAGGACAGCAAACGCCCCTTGTGCATCCACTCTTGCATCTTGTTGACAGTGACGCCGTGGCCCTTGTTGACAGTGTGGGCCCCCTGCGCTCGGACGTCAGGGGGCTCCCGCTTGTCGTCGTGACCCTGGTTTGTAGACGCATCCGCGTTGCTGTCCGAAGAACCTGCGAGGCTGTTGACTGAGCCGCTGCTCTCGTCGAGCTGCCCGCCGCGGTCTTCGTCGCCGGCGTCTTGTAGCAGCTCATCGCTGCTGTCGGCGTTGCAAAGCACCTGAGGTTCTGACAGCTCGACCCCTACTCTTGTCTCTGCGGCCCCGTTATCACCACTGGTGTCTGGACCTCCAGGGTTCTGAACACATAGTGAGGGGCCACCTGCAGGCCTGACAGCTCCGTCACTCACAGAGCGCCGTAATGTGGGTCTCCTCTTGGTCAAGGACAGGTTCACCATACTCTTGCTGTTCAGCCGGCCTTCGAGGCCTGACTCGAGGTTCCCACTGAGGCAAAGCAGGAGTGAGTCAGTGTCAGACACCTGCTGGGGGCTGTGGTCGCCTCCCGAGGACCAGGAGTCACTGTCCATGTTTTTGGCGGACAACCTCGAGCACAGGCTGTCCCTGGAGTGGCTACTACAGGAGGAGGTGGCCTGCTGCTCAGTTAAACCACTGCTCATCTGTTGGACATCCAGGTTGATATCATTCATAGCATTGATAAGAAGGTAATAAGCTTCTTTCAGCTGGCTCCTGAGCCTGTCTGTTTCCTGTGCACTGTTACTACCATCAAGCTGTCCTTTATCCTGACCAGGCTGTGGCAGCTCTGCAATATCTCCATCACCTTTTGCTCTGATCGTCTCATAAAAAGGCAGAATTTCGTTATCATAATAATCCTCATCTTCACTATCTAGAGTGTATCTCAGTGACCCCTCTGTGGCGCAGAGGGACGCCACGTTAATGTCGCATATTTCTAACTCTGTGGGGAAAAAGGTCGGGCTCTGCAGACCGCCCGCAGGCCCTCTGATGTCCGCTGCGTACTCGGGCCCGTAACTCTCAACGTTTCTGATTACGATGTTTTCTTCCGTGTTTCTTTGCGTGCTGTTTGGACGCACAGGTTCAGCGCAAACGAGCGAGTGTGTCTCCGAAGTTTGGTTGTTGTCAACACTCCGGTTGGCGTTGTGTTCATGAACTACTGTCCCTGCCATGTGCCGGCAGTGTCCCCGGTCTCTGTGCTCCGTCCCATCGCCATCAGCAGCAGCAACCCGGCCCTCTGGTGGTTTGCCTACCCCGGCATGCGGCTCTACCTGTGCTCGGTATAAAACGTGATTTGAATTGTCCCCGAACCCGATTGAATCCCCGACGCTGCACTGCCGCGGCACCGAGACGTAGTGTTTCCTCTGGACATGCGGTCCTCCGAGCGGGACCCCCGCAGATAACGCGATTTTGCCGGCGGATCTGGGCCCCCGGTGGCTCCTATCTGCCTCCCCAAACTCGCGCCCCCCAAAGCGCACGTCTCTTTGAAGTGAGACCCCCGGGAGCTCCTCATTAACCCGAACCCTGCCCCCGCTGCTCCGCTCCTGGGGACGTGCGCCGGACGACACTGCGGAGCGACTCTCCCGGACTACTACAACAACCCCCTCTGTTTGCACCATGGCCCCGTCAACACAATTCTCGTACGTACTCATTCTCTCTGTCGTGCAATCCAGCCCCGCGAGCGAGACTGCTACCGGGCGAGCCTCGTCGGAGTCGCGCTGCGTCTGCAAAACTTTTTCTTTACCTTCTCGGCCCCCATTCGCCGCAGCAGCAGCGCAGTATCCACCGCCGACCGTCGCTCCTTTCTTGGATTTCTTCCCCCGGAGTTTCGCTAATAAAGTCCTCCGCAGAGGATCAGCCATTCCTTTCCTTTGCCCCCCAGTTAAGTCCTCCCGGTTTCTTTCAGCACGATGGCTCCAGAAGGAAAGGGCCGAGTGGGTTCTCCTCGCTCGCCGCGGTCAAAGCTCGCCGGGCGGACGGGCTCCTCTCCATTCTCCGCTGTCACCTCCGCTCTGTCGGCTCACTCACTCCTGGCTCACTCAGCTTAACTGCACCACCTCTCTCTCTTTCTCTCTCTCTCTGCTCCACACACGCCCCCTCTTCCCTCTCTGCACTTCTCTCTAGCGCCTCACCTCACCTTCTCCTCATGTTTGCAGCTCAGATGGGCTATTTGGCATATTTTCCTGGCTCAAAGTTCAGGGACCTTGCAGATAAATGACTGAGAGAGCATTTCAAGAACTCATACTCAAACAAACGGATAATGCATTAATCTTGTTAATGCTTGACGCTCTAGGATAGCAGCACATCATCATAATTGAAAATCTGGAACAAGACATTTTTTATTGAGATTACTTATAATGAAGAAAAAAGTTGCACATTCATTTTCAAACAGTCGATTGGTGGACTCATTGTCTCTAGCCTTCTTATCGTTATTATCTATGGTTATAAGCCATGAAGAACCTTTGGGTTGCCAGGTTGTTGAAAATCCCTCTCGCTTTTGTTTCTTGTCATCAATAAATGTTCATGAATGTAACATTCTAATCACAAGTCATCAATTCTGCTGTTACAAATGTTAATAAATCATCAAAGCAAATTTAAAATCTTAATTACCGGTTCATCAATAATACAAAATAATTAGTTTCAGACATAACATCAATCATGCTTCAAGCATATTTTACTTAAAGTTATGGTGAGGCACTTTAAACTGGTTATGAAACAGTCTGATTGTAATACTGATGCCACAATATGACCTACATATTTCCATATCAGATCAAATCATTCAGGTTGACCAGAAACTCCTTCAGCACAGATTCCAACGGGACATCCGGCAGTGACCATGCAGCCCTCCGTGGACAGACCCAAAATCTGGGAGGAGGGAGGAGGAGAGCCTAGCGGCCAGTAGTATCACGTCCTCCTCCTGCCGGGAGCAGAGCTTTGCCTCAATGCTCCTCCGGTCCTCACTGGGAGCCACCACTGACACCACGCTGCTGGAGGCCTATATTAGGCCGTATTACTGGGCCCGCAGGAGGGGAAGGAAGGAACTCCAGAACCAGAACCAGGACTGAGTGGAGCAGGCTATCAGACCCAGACCAGTACAATTAGAGGTTTTCGAAAAGGGACTCTGGTACTAAAAAACACTACCACCTTTGTCCTCGGGACAGCCAAAATCAACACAAAATGAATGTTCCTTGCAGTAGCTTTAAGTAAAAAAAAATAAATATATACTACTGTATTAAATATTGCAATAGAAAAATACTCTTATGAGTAAGGTTGTACTAAAGAAAAACTACAAAATATCAGCAAAATCTACTATAAATGAAATATAGGTTATCATAATACTATGATGCATTAACACGTGAGCAGCATTTTCATGTAGTCAAAATGGAGTGTTTTAACTACTTTATATATTTTGGGGTAGTTTTATCTATAACAATATACAACAATATAACATATTTTAGAAGCTGATTGTATATTTTGGATGAAGCTTTTAATGTGAAAAACAACTTCTTGTCAAATGGAGTCAAAATACAATATTAGGAATAGGAATATTAAACATTAAATACTTTTAAGTAAAACTACCTCAAAATGATATGCACTGGAGTAAATGTACATATTCACATACTGCCAGTGTATTCAATATACCTTTAAAAAGTGCAAATGCGTTTTAAGGATGAGGAACGTTCCGACTATTATCTGAATGTTTCCTTTTTAGTAATGCAGCTGTATAAATGTAATACCCAGGATGAGAATGTAACTTTGGGTCTGGGTGATGGTAAGTGAAATGTATAGCTGCAGCCTCTCTATTGAAATTCAACACATATTTGTCCCCGAAAGGTGAAATAAATTCTGCTTGAGTGCAGGGAGCCAGGACTTTAAATTACCACCTTCACTGGTAGCTGTGAAGGCATTCCAGCAAACAGCAGGGAAATCAACTCTCCTCTCACATGAAAAAATGTGCTCGAACCTCTGCAGAGAACGACAGAGAAGCAATAAGGAGGATGGCGATAACCTAGCGGCTCCGGATCGTCTCTTACCATTTACAAATGAGCAGGATTGTGTCTGTCATGAGGAATGTGTCTTTTCGTAGTTTCATCTTCATTATTACACACCCGCAAAGGCTATTTTTCATCCTCCAATGGCAATGGCAACCTAAAAAGCGCAGCCTGCCAGATGATGGATCACTGCCGATTATCGGGCTGACACTTTTATCTGAAGTGTATCTTGAGTAATCCTCTCCTCTTTGACCTTGCAGCTAACCCATGTCCCTGCTCGCAGCCCAGCCCGGCGCTTTGAGAGCGTCCGAGACAGCAGAGAAAGAAGTGAAACATACTTCACTTGAACCTTAAGCCATTTGTTTGCTGTTGCCTCTACTTGGAATGTGCAAGAGGATGAGCTGCTGAAAAGCTGCAGTGGGTGTATGAGTGCACATGCGCTCTCCGCCTCTCTTTATGGCACACATATTTCAACTCAAATACCTACACACACATTCCCCCTCTCTCTGACTGAATCCGACTGCATTATAACCCTCCTGGCATTACTGCCTCTCTTTTCTAAGGTAAAATGTCTACCCATGATTCAGGGCATTCATTGTCGGAGACTGTTCATCGACAGGGCCCCGCATTCACCCTCCCTTCTACCCCACCGCCACTACTACCCCCAGTAAAAGATGATAAGCATCTGTTATTGCTCTGCAGGAGCCGTGTGGGCCCTGACGCCTCGGCCTGCCTCCCCATCTGACTGACTAGACCCTGTCTGGGCATTTATTTACAGGTCAAAACTTGTAGGATGCGTAGTGTGTTTGTGTGTCGCAGAGAGAAAAAGGGAGAGAGTGGGGGGAGAGGCGAGGGTCGGAAAAGAGGCATATGCATCAGGGAGGACACAAACAAGAAGTGTTGCAATCATTCCACACATTCACTGGAGGGCATGAGCCATATCTCTTCGACATATAACATCTATTATCACAATTTTAATGCTGCAAATGTCTTGCATTCCTGAAAATGTGATTTTGTCTCGTGATATCTCTTAGTATGCGGTAATAGAGCAGTGTACATGTACATGCAGTGATGGCTTGTTGCACGTGTGGCAATGGAAAACTGGGTTGTAAGATATTTCTACTTCTACATTATTCTTAATGCTTGTCATTATGCCACCGGTTCAGGTTCCGCGTAAAATCTGACGAAATCACGCAGGTTCGGCAGAAACTCCTTCGGCTCCGAGTCCAGTGGGGGAATCTGACAGCGACCAGCCCTCAACGGACCACCCCGGATGGCAGGCAGGCAGGCAGGCAAGGGAGAACCAGAACCAGGCCTGAGCGGGGCAGGCAGTCAGACCTTGCTGCAGTAAAATGAGAGGTTTTCTAAAGGGAATCTGGCGCTAGCATACATGGCCACTTTTGTTCATAGGGACAGCCAAAATCAACACCAAATGAAAGTTGCTTCTAGTAGCTTAAATGAAACGTCTATAAAATGTTAGATAATATAAATAAAATTCTCTCAAATTTTTTCCAAATCCAAGTCTGAATATTTAAATCAACAGCAAATATTCACATTTGAGAAGCCATAACCAGTGTATAATCTGCATTTATGCTTGAAAATGAGCTTAAGCGATTAATACATTATCAAAATAAATGCTGATTATTTAACTTTCTATTGACTGCATTATTATTTACTAGGGGTGGGGGAAAAAATCGATACAGCATAGTATCGCGATATTTTGCGTGGCGATATTGTATCGATACACGGATGCCAAGTATCGATCTTTTATTATATAAACTATAAAAAAAAATAAAAAAAATTACTAGAAAAATCAAATCAATAGCTTTTTCAGTCCACTAGATGGTGCTGAGTTGTTTTCTGGTGAGGTCAGCAAAGGTCCCAGGTCAGCGTGATTGGTAGGAAGTTGGTCAAAACAAAGATAGAGACATCTGGCCTCACAACGGGGTTAAATCTGCCAACAGTAGGCAGGCTCATGGGGAGAGTGCAGCGCATAACTGTCTCTCTGCCCTTGACGTCCACGCATCGCAAGTTATACTGAGTTATATAACTCTTATATCCTACTTATATAAGTTATAGTTCATATACTGAGTCCACTCGTTTGCATTTAGTTAAGTTGGACTATGTAGTAATACAAACAGTTCAGTTTGTCAGGTTCATGCAACATTTATGACATTGTTGGTCAGTCTGTCTGCTTGACAATCCTATTTTGCTGCAATAGAAATCATTGAAGTGAGATGAACAGACTGAAAACTTTATCTTATTAGACACAGTTTTCCTTTGGGGACATCATTTGAAGTTGAAAAAAGTAATAAATCGCAATACTCAGAATATCTCAGTATTGTGATAATATCTCAGTATCGTGATAATATCGCAGTATCGTGATAATATCATATCGTGACCTAAGTATCGTGATAATATCGTATCGCGGGATCTCTGGTGATTCCCACCCCTATTATTTACTACATATTTGTTATTTGGTCAGAAGCAATAGCCTGGTGCTGAGTGGTTTTGGTCCACCACATAATGTGGTCGAAAGCAAATTTAGCTGATATTAAATCTGTATATTGATTTCAGGACTTGTAATGTAACATTTTGGCTGTGGTATTGCTACTTGCGTAAAGGATGTAACACCTTGTTCACCGCTGGTTGCTGTCACTATGCTATCATTTATCATTTAGGGATATGGCTTCCTCACAAGACATCTTGGATACACATCTTGCGTCGGTGTCAGCTCACTAATTCACAAAATTGGAATGTATGACATCACATATAAACGCAATGAGTTAACTAAAAAGACAAAAAAAGCTCTTGTCAAGAGACTCGGCATGCTGACTCAACAGCGCAGTAGAACATTAGGTCGTTTGTTTTTCTTTTTTTCCCTCCACCAGTCACTTGTACCCTTTGTGAAGGCAGTGGCAGAACATCTGCTTAGCTGGCTCCCTTTCAGATGGCCGGGCGCCGACGAGTGTATGAAGAGGAAAACTGTGTGTGTGTGTGGGGGGGGGGGGGAAAGATAATATATATGTGGGTGC